CCTGCCCCACTCAGCTCCTCCCCGCTCCGTGCCTTCCCCGCCCATCGCACCATATCCCTCACCCTCGCACAGGGCCGGCTGGCAAGGTGCCGGCGCGGCGCGGGGGCGGCCTATTGCATTAGCTCCGCCGCGCCGCCGCCGCCGCCGCAGGGACGCGTGCGATCGATAGGGCATATTGTTGGAGTGCTTGTCGTGCGAATACCGAGGCCTAGTGGCTTCGTGGCACCGGTGTCCAGACAACCAGATGTCGAAATTCGGCCTTTCTGCCTTTTGTGGGGTCCTGCTGGGGTCTGCGGGCGACCAAGCCGCAAGCGTGACGTCCGAACACGAGCAGTTGATTCCATTAGGATAAAGAAGGCTCGTTTCTGCAACGAGGGCAAACTTTAGAGCTCTTCCACATTCATTGTTTAATTATGTATGAGAGTTACTTGTAATTACACATTTAAAATGTTGTATTTCTATCGTTAATAAATACAAGTGTTAAATATATTGAAAAAATATCACTAATAATCAGTTATTTTTTCATCATGGTCTTTATCATGATTAACATTACATTCCTTATCAAGAATAAACATTTTTACATCTCTCCACCTCCATGAAACCTTTCTCGGGAGACCGGCATTATTTTTCCTCTTGGGTTCTTAAGTCTTTATGAATGTCTATTTCCATCAAAATGTGAATTTTATTAGAGGCACTGATCCACAGCATTAATGTTGAGATAAGATCATGTTATTTATCCTAATGGATAGTGATGTGTAGATACGGGCAAATGTTAGACAGTTTCATACCGTTTGAAATAATCTGAAACAGTGGGGTGACACAAGATAGGGCACATCCGGTTTCAAATTCCATACAGTAGCCAATCAGAGTTCAGAGCGACGCCATATACATCTGTACAACACCAACTCGCTCAAGCGGAGAATCGGTGAACTACTTTTTCACTTTGAATTTTTTTCCGCAAACGAGCCGGTTGGTTACCGTTGAATTCCTTCCTCGTCGACCTATGGTTGTATATTCACGTGCTGTTCGTAAGGCTGTTAGTGCCATATCGCAGTCAGTGAATTAGAGAAATGAAGTGATTTACTGCTGTTTGAAGTCTGAAGCGTGCATTTTGGCTTCGAGAAGATGATGGGTGCGTAACAAATAGTGGATTTTTTTTAATGTTCATGTTCAGTTGCAGATCCCTTGTTTAGACCAAGCGAGGTGACACCCACTGCAGCTACGGGTGTAATTGGTAAGATTTTTTTAATAGAATATAATTTTAATAGAATATATTTTTATAGTTTTAATAGAAAATATAGTTTGATGGGAGGCTATGATACCATCATTTTTTTTAATTTTCAGATCCTTGTACACAGGCAGCTTTTCAAACTGAAAATGGTAAGTCTCTTGTATGTTTGTAAAATGCAAAAAGAAGCATGCTATTGAAAGCATAATGTATTGGCAATAATTTGTTGTTTATTAATACAGGTTCTAGTGCTGTTGAACATGCTGCTACAGCAAGTGCAGCAGGTGCTTATTCTAGCCTTGTGAAAGGTAAATATTTGCTATAATCTTTAAGAATCTCAATTATTACTTTGATGCATTTATTGAAGATGGGATAGATTTCAAGTTT